TAAAGATCGGGGCAAGATTTAAAATTTATTGTTTATATTAAAACATCATTTGAATCTAATATAATAATTTTTATTTTTTTTTTCTTAATTAATACTTTTAATTGATTATAAATCTTTGTAGCCTTATAGTCAATTATTTTTTTTTTAAAATACTATTTATCAATAAATATTTATGAAAGCCCAAAAAGGCGAATATATTAAGTAGAAAGAAATATACAGATAAAATGTGTGGGAGGGCCCAAACATGGCACCCTGTCCACTAAAAAACCACAAATGGTTCCAAAACTAGAAAAAACAAAAAATTACATTAGAAACTTAAATAAAACGTCTAACAGTGTTGAAATACATAGTATCAGGTGGCTCGAGAGCGACCCAATTTGGTCTTGCCTCTGCATCTAGTTCTAGTGAAGGAACAAGCTAATAAGCTGGTAAGATGATTGCTATTGTCAGAAGTAACCAATGTATCATCCAATATGTTCCCGAGCTGGAGTCGGTCTCCATTCTTCTTCTTCCTCTTGGAATAGACCTATCGACCTGCTTGGAATAGACCTATCATTCCTCTTCCGAAGAATCAGTCTGATGGGGTGATAGAGCTGAAGCAGAATGAATATCAACCGTAGTACCCACAATAGGTTCTAGTATATGTGAAGTATTAGTTGCCTCTACACCGGATACTTCCTGAAGAAGTGGAGCTGCGAGACTCTCCTGATTATCAGTCTGAACACTATCATTGGTAGGTAATAGTCCATCAGTATTGTATTCTATGGGGTTTGAAGGTGGCAACATCACATCACTCGCAGTAATAGTAGCAGCAGTGTCATGGGGGGTCCTCAGGGGCAACAGACATCCCATGTCTAGTAGTATCATCCCAAGGTGGAACTATGGGTTAGACCTATCCTTATTCAATTGAACCTTATTTTTCAAATTAGGATGGAACTTGTGGCATTTATCAAGGATATGACCAAACATCTTATAGTGGGTACAATATGGGGGTATGTGTTACATGACGATTTGTTGTCAATATCCATTGTGAGTTGTGCCCAGTCAGACTTCACTAACATCCGGTAAAGTAATATCTCTTTCCACAAGTATTCTGGCCACAGAGGGTCTGGTTAGGTTGAAAGTAGACAGATCTAGCTTCAAAGGATCCCCTAGGATGTCCCCAATAGAGAGAACCTGATGGTGAAAAAAATGCAACTTGAGACCAGGTAAACTAAACCATACCTGTACTGTGGGAGTTTTATGATTTGGGTCGAAATCAGGAAACCACTTGAGAAACTTCATAGATTTTCCTGCGATATTAAGATATTTGTTGGAGAAAATTCTGGTGTAGTCTTCAGCGATTGTTAGTCGGATCAACACATGTCTCTTATCCATAAGTCTCACTTTTCACTTGTCTACTTGCTTAAGATCATTTACACTCTTTCCACTCTTTCTGATAACATCCATAAGTGGGTGTCCCAACTGAAGTTTTCCAATAAAAGCAAACTTGAATTTTTCTGTCATGATAGAATTTTTTTAGTCGGAGAAAAATTTTTTTGTTTTTTCGCCTTTCCTACTTCCCTCTTAACAAAAGGACAATCATCTGTACCATCGCGACATTCCTTATAGCTTGAGAGGAATACCACCGTGGACTCCACCCGAGGGTTTCCCACCATGTGGGCAAAGGAGGTCTTTGCTGGTTCAACCAAAAAAGAAGTGACATCAGAACAAGGGGATGTGCCAGTTGTCACCTGCAGCGAGAAGCTTGTGTCGGGCTGGAGAGAAAGATGGGCGCAGAAGCAAAACAGAAGAATTGTTGTCGGGCCGGAGAGAAGCACTGGCGCAAACACAAAAAGGAAGAAGCGTCGAAAAATGAAGGAAAGAACCGTCGGGCGCGGAAAGCAGAGGCGCAGCGTCGAAACGAGACGCCGACGCAGAAAGCAGAGTCGCAGCGTCGAAAGTGGACGCCGCACAGAAAGACATGCCCCGGAACTTGCAGCTCGTCGATGAGGTCGACGCAGAAGCTGGCGCGAGGGAGAGACGACGAAGCCGTAAAATCCCTATGTCATTGTCGACGATTGCAAAAAACGAAAGCAGAATTCGTCGTCGAGTAAGAGAACTTCCGGAAAGCCAAAGATCATACCAGGGAATCGCCATCGGGCAAAACCCTAGCAGAACCACTGTCGCTGCCGACGCTGTATATATATGGGGTATGTGTGTGTGTGAGAGAGAGGGAGAATGAAATGAATGAACAAATCTTTGTTTGAGTTCGGCTCGTTAACTTAGCGAACGAGCCGAACATGAATGAACAAATCTTTGTTTGAGTTCGGCTCGTTAACTTAGCGAACGAGCCGAACATGAGTTGTTTGCGAAGAACAGGCCGTTTTGACAACCATAGTTTGGACCGGTTGATCAAAAGGGGGCTTCCTCCTCCTTATCTTTTATTATAAATAGGTCCTTTGTTTTATTTAGGGTTGAGTTCTTTCTTGAGATTTTTGTGTAGACAGCAGCTGACGTCCCTCTATTTTCCCTTATAGGCTCGTATCAGAGGGCAAGCGGAGCTCCGGCTGTATCTTGCTCCAGAGTGGTGATTATGCTCGACCTACCCTCCTCTGCAACCTACCCTTCCCTGCCACTGTCGCCGTACCCTGCTGTGGACCATCGGCAACTGCAGCCAAACAGTTTTCCTACAGCCCTGTCTTCCCGTCAGCCTTCCTCCCACCTACCTGCACTTTCTGCTACCAATCAGTTGTTCCCGTAACCCTTCCTATTCCCACAAACAGCTGTCTTACAGCCTACATTGTTAATCCCAAGTAATACAGCAACTAATTAGCTCCAGCTGCTGTTCCCGTAACTCTTCCTTCCCTGCCACCCGCCTCCCCTACTACAGGATTATTACGGCAGCCCCTCCAACAGCCTTCCTCCCTCATTTCCTCATACAACAGCCCAGCCCTCATCCCTGCAGGCCTCCTTATTGCAGCCTCCACACAGCCTCTGCCTGAGCTACCCAACTCCACGCCATCGACCTGCAGCCCACCACCGTTATCCTGGCCCCTGAGGGTGTCTTTTGTATTTGTGTTGTTAATTTCAATTGTCCAGAGTCATCAGTAACTTGTTGGATTTTCAACAATAACATTCATATTTCAATTATGGTTGGGTTAACTCTAGTATCGAATGGTATATATAATTAAATATTTCATAATGAAAAGTAAAGGAGCTTAAAAAAAGGCAAATTAAGTGGATAGGTTGCAAATCATATCTTTATAATAACTTGTACAAGTTGGGTTATAAAAGTGAGCCTATATAGAGATAAAATGGTCCTCAAAAAAATATATTTATGATAAATTATATAATTGTGCAACAAAGGTGAGTTATATGAAGACAAAAAAGTGATACTTATGATCACTAATACAACTATAATAATAAAAGTGAGAACATATAGAGGAAAAATAATCCTTAAAATGCTATATTCATGATGATCTATACAATTAAGGTGAAATTGATAAGCCATTATAGAGGCAAAAAGTCATCAATATATAGCCTTCGAGCTCAATTTTCAACCCTATAATATGTGATGTGATTCGATACAGCCCACAACCTTATCTTGCTAAATTAACCAAAATCTATATATGTGAAATATTTTGAAGTTTAAGATATTCCGTGTCAAGGAATAAATGGAACATGCAAAAAAAAAATATTAAAAGATTATTTTCTGATGTTAACACATGTAAATTTTTAATATAGTGCATATTATGATTGAAAATTTAACATCTCTATCAAAAAAAATTTTGCAAGATTTCTTCACATATTATTATTCTAGTATTATTTAAAAAGGCCACTTCACAAGGATTATAGGCTATGCATAAGACTAGTCAGTTTTTTTTTTTAATTTCTCATGTCAAGTTCTTGATCAGTATATCAGACTATTTAATACAATTTTACTGTGCCATATACGGTGAGAAAAAAGGGTAAAATCATTACCGAGTGAATCAAATTTTGAAGCAATTACTCTATGTTTTGATATACAAATTTATTATGAAATAGAAAAGGACATTAATCCATATATGTAGTAAAAGTTTAATATTATGCAAAATAAATTTGATCATTGAATGAATGGAATATATTGGAACGCTTCCACTTAATTATTTTGGAATAATTATTTGGACGCACATTCGTTAGATATTATGTTGTATTCTAAGTTTGGGTCATGGATGTAATTAATTTTATCGCTCGTGCTATTATGATGGGCAGAGTTCCAGAATGGTGGTGGTGGTAAATTAAATAAGCTGAATCAAACGCAGCACTATTACGCCTTATATTCAACAAAGAGGGACTATCATTGGGCTTGATAGAGCACATAAACATTCTAATAAAATTGGTTGCCTGAATTTATGATTACTCGGATTTATCTTTAAGAAATCAATGGGTGCATAAAGAAAAATAAGATTGAATTGCATTTCGATAAAAAAAGCACAGGGAATGTCTGACAGGAATGTAAACTAAAAACGATCCAACTTTCAGTAATAGAAATAAATAGCATAAATTTTTGCTGAAATATTCCTTATTGTATCTGTTAACTAATCAGATTTTTCATCCCAGGTTCTTTCTGAAAGAATGTCAAAAATGCACTTAAAAAAAAAAAAGATTTTCAACAACAAAAAGACTCTTTCCATGAAATTGTACAAATTAACGTGGACGTGGACCAGTAATTAAGAATTTTCTTGTAAAAATAGAATATAAAGACAAGAGGATTAATAAAAATTAAACACATTTTTTACTTTCAATAAAAAAAAACTCCATTTGTCTTTCTAACTCAAGTTCGTAGCTTTTTTATCACATTATATTAGTAAAATAATATAGATATAATACACATAAAGTTGAAAATTAATAGAAACAAACAAATTAATTAACAAAATACAACCCAAAAGAAATTGCATTCATATTCATATGCATCTTCTTGACAAAACATTTAAGAAAATCTAAAATAGAAACAAAATAACTGGCAAGGAACTACTTACCATATCTGCAAACCATCTGCTTCGATGCTGTCATAAGCACAAAAAAAGGAAAAGAGTTAGCTTGAGGAATGTAAGCATGCCACAAATGATAAGTCAGCAAAATGCCAGAGTTAAAAGTATCTGAAAATATGTGATTTACACTATAAATTGCATGTTCATTATATGCCATTATGTTATCAATTTTATAAAGTAATATCCTAAGAAATATATTTATCAAGTATGTCAATCTGTATTTTAGTTATCAAGAAGCAAATTCTTGATGATTAATCAATAAAAACAAAATAGCATTTCAATTCATAAACCAAAACAAAAAGGCAACTTCAAGTTTGTAGGATTGTAGATCATTCTTTAGAAATACATGGATGGTACATATTCTTACTAATGCAGCAGAATTTGGCTTCTGTGGCAGTGCATCCAATGAGTTGCTCTTGGCCTTGGAAAGTGCCAGCTGAGACGATGCCTTTGGCACCCAGCCTGAATCATCATCTTCGTTATCTTCATCAGAAGTATATTTTCGCTTCCTAGAACTGGGATGCCTCTTCTCCTGATCATCTATATTTTTTATCAAGCCATCCTTTGGTTTTACTTTTCTCTGAACAACATTATCAAGATAGTCCTCCTCAGATTTTATAATTGGTTTCTTTGTTCCAGGATTAAATTCAATTTGTGTATTATGTTGTTTTGGTAAATCAGTAATTGGTCCCAACTTCTTGCTAGAATTGTCATCAAAGGCATCTGAATCAACCACTTCAAGTTTGACAGAGTGATCAAGCTTCTGATCCTCGGGATGATTTAGAAGAAATTTCACTGACATTATTAAAAAAAATCTTAGAAAAAGATTGAATCATAAAAAAGGGGCATTTACATACATACCACTCAATATCTAATAAAAAAACTATTTCATGCATAGAAAAAGTAGCATTTGTGTAAAATTGAGGTTTAGGTGTTATATGAATAAGAATTTCGTGATATGTATGTGAATCTTCCAAAAAAACAAGAAGGAGAGAGAGAGAAAGAAAATGTGAAATACATTCAACTCCAGCTATTGCATCTGGTGGTCTTTCTAATACTGTACAAGTCCCAACATCAAAGAATCGGGAAAAGGTGAAATCTGCATTTTTTATAGCAAAACTGGATGGTTGTGGATTCCTCTCATCTCCCGACGTACAAATGACACTGCATTTTCCAGCGATAGTTTCCTGCCGCAGCATCTCAAGTTATTTCTTGTTTCATAATGGTACATAACTATATTTGAATAACAATTATAAGGAAATTAATGGAAAATCATATTTAGACCATTGAGAAATTTTCAAAAAGATACAAACGAGTTAATCAAAATAAGAAGTTTCAATCAAATAAATGCCATGTAAAAATGATAAGCTTTTTGTCCTAATTAAATCGTTAACTATTCAATTTACAAGTATGCCACATATCCAAAAGACAGACGACTCATACACAATCCAAACACAATAATAAATAGGGGCATTTACATACATACCACCCAATTCATATGTATTTACATATCTAACATTTAAATTCTACTTCTTATTTGCATACCACCCAAATCTTTCTTATCACATCAAAAATACTATAATTTTAACTTTTAAAAAATAAAATAAACATTTTGATGCATAAGTATGGCGGCGCATATGTCAAAACTTAAATTTTAGTGTTAGATATGTAAATACATTCAAAATAAGTGGTGTGTATGTGAATCTTTCCTAGAAAATAACCAATATAAGCAGCATGCAATTTTGAGAACTTGTAGTTTGAAAAGATGTGTGCTTGAGTAACAATTTTCCTATTAATATGACCGCGATATTAATATGAAAATTCAAATTATAAATACAATGATGACTATTGCCAACTCTTGCTTGAATATCTTTTGAAGTCCTGATCGCTGCCTATATGCAACTTTCCATTATTAAGTGTTTAAAATGAGATGCACCTCCAATCAATCAGAATCATTCTCATCCTCAAGGAGCAAGAAAACAATATGGATGGTTGGAATTCTCATAGTGAAGAACAGTATCATGAACCTTTATGATAGATGCCAAGAAATACCAATACATGTGATAATCTTTTATTAGACTAATTACATTAGTAATTTCTTTCATTGATAAACTGTAAATGCTAACATGAAACTCTAAAATAAGCTAAGACTTAAGGGATAAATATGAAAAAACCACGTGGCATAAATGGATTAAAATATTCATCAATGGGTAAGAAATAAAAATCAAACTTAAAGAAAAATATCCTTCACTTTCATAATAGGATGGTTTGATAGGCGAACTTCTTCCTTTGAAACAAGGTATCAAAACTATTTGCTGAATGCATGATGAACTAGGTTTAAATAAGAGTTAAGGATAATATTCAGAAAGATATTGATAGGAGTGTAAACGAGTCAAATTGAGCTAAAGGCACCCTTAGCTTGAGCTTGCGTTTAACTAGTTAGCTAATCAAATTTGAGCTTGAGATTGAGCTTTAGCTTTATTCTAGGAGTCCGAGCCATTTCATGAGCCAACTATTTATTATGAAGCAAAAAAAACATATTATGATAAAATTATCAAAAAAATAAGGAAATCTGTTTATACAAGTAATTGAAAAATATTTGCTATAAATTTTGAACAACTTTGTACTCAAACTATTGAATACTAATATTTCAAACGTATTATCAATATTTTCTAAACGAACCAAATAACAAGTTAACGATCGAATCGGGGTTGGCTCAAGCTTGGTTTGTTAGCTCATGAAACTCGATTCACAAAGCTAATATCGAGCTGTGCTTGAGCCAGCTCACAATTTGGCTTGACTCTGACACATTTCATTGCAAATATAGAACTTACATCTCAATTTTCGTTTCGATGAAAGAATAATCAAACTTCTACTTTTAAGAAATTCATAAGTCATACTTATAGTTTTGTCACTTTTTGAAAACAACCTATTGTATCCATAATGCTAAAATAATAATATTGTCAATATAGTTAAGAAAGAAAAATGTGCAGCAAGCACACGCGACTCTAAATTTACAAATTGATCATTTTCTTAAATGGCACTTAAAATGTTCACTTTGCCCATGAATGTCAGAAGAAAAAGTTGATAAGGGTGTTCATGAACTAGATCAAGGCAATTGTAATGCAAAAAAATGGCTTGAAAGGTTCCCTTTTAAACATCAGATGTTTTATCAGTATTATGCTGACAGGCAATGCATAATGAAGAAAAATTTATATTTTCCACTGTAAATATCACAAAAAAATGCTATTAGTTGAATATATGCCATAATTCATGTATTATTGCAATATAATTAAGGCCACGCTCTCTACATAATTATTAGTATAAACGTAATTATTTATAGATATATGCAGGTTCCAGATAAGGGCAAATTTGATTGTTGTAATTATTAAAATTTAGCCTTATATCTTGCAATATATCTGCGCAAGGCATGCATAAAAATGATTAATTATTAAAAAAATAAATATTAAATGGTGATCCCTCAAACTAATCTTTCACGCTATCACGTGAAAATGATTAATTATTAAAAAAATAAATATTAAATGGTGATCCCTCAAACTAATCTTCATGCTATCACGTGAACTCTCCACATGAAATAAAGCTGCCAGCCTTCTCTGCCATCACTGCATCCTCCTCCAACATCCCACTTCTCTTCCTCTACAAAAAACTCTTCCAATGACAATCCGTAAGCCATAATTTTTTTAAAATATAATTTATGTATTTTTTTTATTTTTTAGTATTTAAATATCAACATGTTCTAATTTTTTTAATCAAAATTTTAATTCAAAAGTTTCAAAAGAAGTGGTTAGAGAAAATGAAAAGATCATAATAGATAGAAAAGGCCAGGACATTCTGTGCAAGTTGACATTAGAGGTGGTGATAAGCCACTTATTTAAAATGCAACTACAGAAAAGAGATTGTTAAAGGGGGTCTTCCAAGAGTAAAATAGCAAATTTTATGCTCTCACAAGAATATTGCATTGTGTGCCAAATTGCCTATGAAGATAATAAATGAGATTTATTCATAAATAAAGAAAGTGATAATGTTGAAGCATTTAGCACAACATCGATCTGATGATAAAGTAAAAGTTGGTTATTACTATGAAATTTCTAGAGAACCTATGAATCAATAGACGCTAATTGTGGAGGAACGTACAGATGATGTGAATATCGCCCATAGAATGTTGCCTGAAAGTGCTACAGAGGCGCACAGGAGTGTCAGCATGGATATTGGAAGAATCTTCTATGAAAATAACTTTCAATTTAATGTGGAAATACCTTCTTATTTAAACATAATCTGATCCATAGTTTCATATGGTTGAGGTCTAAAATCACCATATGTGTCTAGTTTGAAAAGTTGAGAGTTGAAAGAGGAGTTGAATAAAACTTAAAAAATCATTGAGAAGATTGAAACAATTGAGAATCAAGCTGAACTGACGATCATGTCAAAAGATTGGTCTGATATCAGTAATAGAAGCTTGAAGCTGATTAATATTTCAATTAGCAATCCCAGCATCACTATAATCTTAAAATCTATTGAAGCATTGGATAAGGTCAACGATGCAGATTACATTTTTGAACATATTGATAGGGTTATTGAGGGGATTGAAGAGCCTCTAGTGGTTCAAATTGTTACAGATAATGCTAGGAGCTATGGTGCAGTTGGGAGAAAATTGATGGAGAAGAGATAATATATTTATTGGACACCACGCATTACACACTGTATAGATTTGATTCTAAAGAAACTTAAACTGATGTCAACAAAAAAAACCATGATTAAATTAAAGAAGACAAGAAACTTCTACTATAATCATTCGTGGGTTTTGACCTTGATGAGAAAATTTTTTTAAAAGAAACTACTACGGCTTGCTACAACTAAATTTACTTTAACTTATTTGACCCAACAAATCATGTTGAAAGCAATGCAATATTTGAAAGTTATCTTAACTTTCACATAATGATTTAATTGTACTTAAGCAAGAAAATCAAGGAACTGAAGGAAACAAAAGGTAGGAGAATTATCTTAGATGAGAGGATTTGGCTGAGTTTTAACTACATAATAGCAACAACAAAAACATCCGTTCAAGTTTTAAGGATCTTGGATTCAGAAAACAATCAATGATGAGCTTCATTCACAATGCAATGGACAAAGTGAAGGAGATGATAGCTCTAAACTTCAAAGAAGATAAGTCCACCAGAAAGGAGATTAAAAAAATATAGTAGATGATAGAGTGTCATCATCATTTAGGGTCTGTTTGAGACAGCGATAGCTTATTGAATAATTTGTTGATAAGTTGATTAAAAATAATTTGTAGATAAGACGGTGGCTATTACAAATTTTTCAAATTTTTATTTTTTTGGAAAAGCCAAACCGTTGTCAATAAGCTCCCACCGTACCCAGATAGGTGTGGCCTGAAAATGTTGTTTTCTGCGTTTTGAAAAAGCATAAGCTGTCAAAATGCAGTTTACCCAAACAGGTTATGTTCGTTTTCAAAACGTCACCGCACCAAATAAGCTGCCCCAAACGGACCCTTACATGTCGCAGTATATTACCTTAATTCAAAATTTTAATATACTAAGAACAAGTTGACTAATCTTAAAGCTAAATTAGGCGTATATCATTACATTGATAGGTTTATGGTTGATTCAATTGAGAGGGCAAATGTTGATATGCAACTTTTACCTTTAAGAAAGAATTAGGATTCATTGGACTAAAACAGGCCAGAAATAATAATTGCAAAATTATCTCCATGCAATTTTTCATATTTACAGGTTGAATTAAGAAATCATTCGCCCAATTTTAACTATGTTTGTTCTAATTTAGTTAAATGATGGATTCAATTTGATGATCGCAATCCAGAGCTATTATAACTTGTTTAAAATATTGAAACATACATGTTCATTATCCAATTGTGAGCAAAATAGAAGCATATACAATCAAATTCATACAAAAGGAAAAATTGTTTGAAAAACTTAAAAATAAACTCATTAATTCATCTCATATGCAATAAGAGATTAAATAAAAGAATTTTGAAGAAAAATGCTTTAAAGGATGACAAACATTCCTTTGAAACTATGGGTCATTAGATGATGAATGATAAACCGGTGATATTAATGAAGCACTATCATTTGATTTACAACAAGAAGATCTCAATAGTGATTTTTTTTAACAGGGAGAAGCAAGACCAATAAATCTAACATAAGCCAACAAGTTATAAACAAATAAAAAATTATCCATAAATAATTATAAATTTGAAGTTCTAATAATGAATATAAGGATTACTTTAGAGCTTAATTAAAATTTATATTAGCTAATATCGATTAGAGAAGTGAACGAAGAGTGAGATTGAAGATGAGGAGGAATGGGTATGAACACATCTAAGGATGAGACTGAGAAGAAAATAATTCATTTCACTGACAATTCTAATGAGGTCCCACTAGATTACAGGAATAATGAGGACTTTTGAATTTAGAAATCTTAATATTGATGGATTGTTATGTTCATAATTGTGGTTGTTATATTCTTTTGTTTTACTTTAATATGTTATCTCACTTTAGAATTTGTATGATTATCTTCATGATTTGCTATTAACATATTAGTTATTTTTTGAGATTTATTATTTTTCACTGTGTTAAGATGTTAATATGTTGCTTTCTAATTTGTTAATATGATATGTTACTTTTAAATGTGTTGATATATTTACATGTTAAAATTTTACTTTTTATTTTATTAAAGTTAATACAATACTTCTTCCTTAACACATTTTTTTTTTAATTTGAGGCTTACGCCTGAAGCTTATAACTCACCTCCGATAGAAAAAATATAATCATTGCTCAATTACACTTTTAAACCTTATTTACACCATTACAATATTCAACCAGCATATCATGGATCATCTTCTATTCAAGTTGGTGGTAGCAGACAATTACATATTCATGTTATTCATGCCATAAATTTTTGTAAAAGATGATCTTACATCTCCTAGCTTTCTACAAGTCTTACATTACTAGAACTTCAAAACACCTCAATGCTTATGCCTCATCTCACATGTAAAAAATGCATCAATACCAAATTATATAATTTTAAACCTTTTTCACACCGTTAGATTATTCAACCATTATATCATAGCCCATCTTCTAATCAAGTTGCTAATGAGAGACAATTGCAAAAAAAAGATTGAGGACAATGATCTTTCATGAAAGACAATGATGTTTCATGAAAGATGACCTTATATCTCCTAAGCTTTTTATGAGCCTTACTTCGGTAGAAAAATTGATTGCTAATAATTATGATAATTAATTTCTTGTGAAGTTCCAATTGATTAGTATCAATTGATGAGGAAAATAATTATGAAGAGGACTAAAATTGAAAAATCATTTCCCTAGACATTTCAATTCCTAAGATTATATCATTGTCGTGTGTACTAAATGAATAAATAAGTGAAATATAGTGCAAATGATTAGATCATTCTAATCCTATTGTTTTATCAAATTTAATAAACTCTAATATGTTGGTACTAAAAACAAATTTTCTTCTCATTTGTCTTTGAAAGGCTCAACTTGTAAAATTTAAAAAAAAAACACGTCTCTTCATTTTCCACCACATAGGCTATTATTGCATTATTATGCACGAGAAAAGAGACTTGTCTGAGCATGAGCTTTAATTGAAGCTAGACAAGAACTTAACCAAAGAGTAGAAGAGGCGGACATCTGATATAGAGTCCACAACAATTCTTTGTGCCTACTTTAATCAGGGAATTCATAACACATCTTTAAAAGTTCTTTATGTTTATTTAGAGTGCATATTTTTGTACTTTTTTATCTTTGGGAAGAACAAATGATTGATGAGATGCTTGCATGGCAGGCTATCTTTATCCGTCTAGATTGGTCAATATTGCATATTGCACTTAAATTATACTTTTCTATCTTTGGGATGAACAAATGATTGATGAGATGCTTGCATGATGAGCTATCTTTATTTATTTGTAATATAGTCAATATCACAAATGAATAATCACTTTATTTTGCAAATAAATTGAATATGTTAGTACCATGAAACGGAAATGGGAGCGATGGTGGAGAGCATTGCGGAATAAATTCATTAACAACAATTGAAATAATTTGATATTGTGTGATTATCAAACAACTTACATGGTGTCATCTACCATAGATTTGTCGCCACATTTGATTATGAGCTGATCAAACCATGTTATACGACAATGATCATGTGCGGAACAAATGAGAACTCACCATAATGTGTGATTTTGGCTGAGTATTTAAGAACTTTGCCCATAAACTACTTTTAAGTTTGCATGACAAATAAACTTCTATGCATGTGTTATTTGTATAGCCAATCCCCCGACCGGATATTAAATTACATATATTTTGTTAATGGCACTAAGGTTGCAACATTGAGTTGATTGAGGATGTTGAGTACCATAGTCAATTTGATTATTTCTAAAAATTGCTTTGTGCAGCTTGAAAGTTTTCCAAGTACCTATTATTTATGTTATAGAATTCTCGCAGTATTAATCTCGTCTATTTTGAGCTATGACGTAGATCTACCCTAAACTCGGTATTTCGATCATTCACGAGAATTTTTGGTTTATAACCAACAATAACCAATACAGTTCCAGAGTTACGTACAACCAAAAGTAGAGCACTTTTTGGGAATGATCACCAAAAAAAATATGTCACCAAAGTTTAAAACAAGTTTTCTCTTCTTATCCAAAGGTCATAGAAGTGAATTTATGATGTCAGGGCTAATTAAAAATGGATGTCATATCAATGTTCTTAGGCTCATTGACCTAAATTTAATTTCAAATTTGAGTTCAAAATATATCAAACTTCATCTAAGGATGACCTTTTCAGTTGTAAAAATTGATAAGAAGAATAATTCGATAAGTTCTTCCAATTATTAAGAAATTCACTTGAAGTCAAGGGAGTGAAACAAATAACTGATTAAAGAAAAATTAAATTATGAAGAGATCCCAATTAAAGGCGAAAAAAAAATGATTGTTTTCAATACATGAAAATTGATAATAAAAAAAAAAGAGCATGCATAACCAATGTAAATTTAGAGCGAAAATGAACGTTCCATAGGTATTAAAAATCCAATCATACTTGTTTCGCAAAAAGAAGCAAAAAAACAAATGTTTTTCTTCTAAGATTTATGTTTATTACCACTTTGCTTTTAAGACCTCCAATTATGAGCTCTCTACACAATACTAAGCAAGCAAAATTGAAACAGCATAATGGTGCGATAGATAATTGTAAGAAATTCCAAAACAATCAAAAATAAATTTTAAAGACTAAATCAAATTTACCAAAGGATTAATATTGCAAAGACCAACACCCTCCCCAGCAGCCAAAAAGAGATCATTTTTTGATGATACATGTCCATCCAAATAATTAATAATATCATCTGGACGAAAGAACCATAAGATCTTTACTCTTCTTTTACGCCTGGGTTGCTCCCAAATTTTCAATATTTTTCCAATATAAGGATCACTTTCACCTTCTTTGAACAGATACACATTGTCATATAAGGAATAACTCTCTTCATCGAAGATGAATGATTCATAAAACTGAACATCCTTGTTAGCATTGCCAACCCCTCTTCTTTTACCCCATCGAAATTGAAGATCACTATTCTCTGACTCCTCTAGTTGAGGCATGATTTTTAAAACAATAATCTAAGATGCCTTTTGTGAACCTGCTTAACAAGAAGAAATAATGGTCGATGAGAAAATCAGAAACTAGCCTTAAATCATAAAGCAATTCCTTGAACAGAAACAACTAGGCAAAAAAAAAAAACAAAACAAAATAACTTTTTTGCCTAAGTGTTTGGATAAGCAAATGATCCTTCAAGTGAAGTAAAAGAATGCTAGTAATTTTTAATAACATTGAAAGGAATGGAAATATTATTAAGTTCTACTATTATTGAACATCTTTTTTACAACTAAAGAGTTTTGAAAAATCATAAAAGAAATCAAAGAGCATGCCTAAATTCAAGTAATATCTGCCTCAAGATTAAACATACAAAGGAGTTTCAAAAGAATATATAAAATGATATGATTCTAACATCAACCTCCGCATTTATGTTCATAAAGAGGACAAATTAGCTATAAAATGCCAGTTTACACCTTCACACATAAAAAAGAAGTAAGCCGAGCTCGTAAGAAAATTGTACACAATAAAAATTAAAAAATAATAATGTACCATAACTTCGTGATGTTTATAAAATAAAATCATTTTAAAACTAGCTTTAAAAGACACTATTTTCCCGCCTACAACATCAGTGTTAATATTGATCCTTAACTGCTTCCAATCAAAAAGACTGCACATGAAAACTAATTATACAAAAAAAAAGAATAAGTAATGCGGGGCTTCCCGAACGGAAGCGGGATGCGAGAGCTCCCGAACGGTCCAGGGGAGTCGGTCCAGGCTACCTAGAGGTCGAGCGGCATTAAACGACCCAAGCGGCATTCCCTTCACGTCTCCCGCTCGATTGAGAGGTAGTTTAGGAAGGACGGTGAACCCACCAACCGTTCTCCTCCTTCCTTTTCTATCTTTCTTGTTTGGAGTCTATTTATATGCTTGTTAGTGAGAGTTAGGGTTGATTTTTTCTATGTGTTGACTTTATATTGCTGTTTGGAGTCATTTTTCCCTTTGTGGCCTGCATCCGAAGAGGTAGTGGTGCTCCGACTATATCCTACTTCGAGATAGTGATTATATCTTTCCTACTTAGTTTCCTCTACTCCTTCAGTCGTTTGTCATCCCCAACTGCTTCCCCCTGTGCTGCCAACCCCATTTGTGCTACAGTAACTTGTTGTCCAGCTCTTTCCCCTCCACTTTTCCTAGCGGCCAGACGTCCCAACTGCTGCCCCGCAGCTCCCAGCTGCTACCACACCATCCCACCAACATCCACCGCCCTTGGGATGCATTTTCAAGGTGTTTGTTTGTGTCATTTGTGTTTTGGTGATATTATTTTCAGTTTGCGTGTGTCGTAACCCTCCAATTAATAAAAGTAGAATCTTGTGATTTGGGCATTTCTCATCTGGTATCATTTGGTATCAGAGCTAGCCCAACCCTAGTCCCATCATAGAGGTTACCTAGCATCCGCCACCACCCAAACTACCCCCACAAAAATTGTGCTCTTTCCTATTCCCAATCAAAATCTAAACTATGATTGACCAATGAAAATCTCACAATGACTTTTGTTAAGTATTGTGGAGCCCGATCCACATTCTTAACTGACAATCTCGCTACCTATGGAAATTATTTGAATTTCTCTGATTAAATTCCTTTTATTATTTCCTTCCTTTTGGATAGCTGAAGCACATGTGCCCTTCCCTATTGGAATCCCGCCCATTTCCTTCTTCGTGTCTATTAAAGGTCGCCCATCTCTTGTAATCGCATACAGTGGGAAAACCAAAATCCGAGTGATTGTCACCGAGGAGTTCCGAGCCGTTGCGCTTGAGGAAGAAGAAGGTTTGGCGAGTGGTTGATCCATCGGAGGCGGCTGGACCAACGGCGTGCGACTAGAGGCAGTCGCGATCGGTCGGCAGTTGCGGCAAACAGGTGAAGAGGTAGGTGTTCCGGACGACAGAAACCAAGAACAGAAAGAAGATAGAGAGAGAGCAAGTGGAGTCGAGTTCTTGTAACCGTGTCAAGAAATTGTGTAATCCTTAAAACAATAAAATCCTCTGCAATTCTGTGGACGTAGGCAATTTGTTGAACCACGTAAATCCATGTGTCTGTGTAATTTTCTCGTCAATTTTTCACTTTCTCACAATCGTCAATCATTTTTCACAACAATTAATATCAGAGTCAAGGTTCAGATCAGAGAAAAACGATGGTAGGAGATAAAGTGAAGGTATCAAAGATCAAGAAGTTTGATGACACAAATTTTGGTTACAGAAAGATACAGATAGAGAACTATCTCTATGAGAAAAATTTCATCTTCTGTTATTGAGAAAGAGGCCATAAAAAATGGATAACGCCGAATGGAATTTGTTAGATCAATAAGTTCTGGGAATTATTCGATTAACTCTATTGAGATTCGTTGCACACAACGTCATCAAGAAAAAGACACTGTTGATCTAATGACAGCTCTATCAGGTATGCATGAAAAATCGTCAGTGAATAACAAGATACATCTAATGAAAAAATTATTCAACTTAAAGATGGTGATTGGTATGTCTGTTGCACAACATCTGAATGATTTTAACAACATCTGAATGATTTTAACACCATCACAAATCAATTATTGTCTATTGAAATTGAATTTGATGATGAGATACGTGCACTAATATTATTAGTTTCATTGTTAAATAGTTGAAAAGCATGAGGATAATTGTCAGTAATTTGTTGGTAAATCTAAGCAAAAATATAATGATATTCGTGATTTGATTTTGCTAAGGAGGTGCTCAGAAAAGATTCTGGCGAGATCTCGGATTCGACTTCAGCACTCAATGTTGATTATAGAGGGAGAACACAAGATATGAACTCAAACAGAGGAATATCAAAATCAAAGCACAGAGGCAATAACAAGTCAAAGTCTGGTTAGCAAACAACCTATTGAAATTGTGGCAAAGCTGAACAAATAAAGAAGAACTGCAAAAATCCTAAAAATACAGAGAACGTCAGTGCTAATTTTGTAACTGAAAAAGTACAGGAAGTAGTATTGCTTACAGTTCATAGTTCTGTTGATGATTGAATACTGAATTCAGGGGTTTTCTTTCATACATCTTTTCGTCGAGAGTTAATGTGGAATTATGTTGCAGGTGACTTTGAGAAGGTGTATTTGGCTGATGGAGAACATTTGAACGTAGTGAATATGGGAGACGTTAACATATCACTCCCTAACAAGAACAAATGAACTTTGCAAAAGGTCAGATATATTCTTGAATTGAAGAAAAATCTCATTTCTATTGGGCAATTTGATAAGTGTGGTCATTCAGTAGTATTTTCATATAGCACCTGGAAGCTCGCAAAAGGGGCACCGATACTGGTTCGGAGTAAGAAAATTTGTACACTATATATGACTACTGTTTTAATTAATAGTGTCGATACTACCGTTGCGGATAGCACAACAGATTTGTGGCATTGCAGACTTGACAATATGAGTCAGAAGGGTATGAAAAAACTTCAGTCCTGACGCAAGTTACCAGAACTGGCGTCAGTTGATCTCAACATGTGTAAGAGTTGCATTATGGGGAAACGAAAGAATGTCAGTTTCTTGAAAGGTGGTAGAATATCAAAGACAGAAAAACTAAAACTTGTACACTGATGTGTGGAGACATTCTTCAGTGGCATCTCTTTGAATCTCTCATTACTATGTCACGTTTATTCATGACCACAATAGATATGTATGAGTTTATTTCTTGAAATATAAATCTAATGTATTTAATGTATTCAAAACTTAGAATGTCATGGTTGAGACAAAGACAAACTTAAAACTGAAATGTTTGAAATCTGACAATGGTGGTGAGTACATTGATGGTGGGTTCAAGGAATAATGTGCAGCACAGGGTATTAGAATGAAGGTCATTATTAGGACACCACAGAAAAATAGAGTTGCAGAACGTATGAACAGGACCATAAATGAGCGTGCAAGAAACATGAGATTGCACGCCGGACTACCAACAAATTTCTAGGCAGATGTGGTTAGCACTGCAGTTTACTTGATCAACAGGGGGTCATCTGCTCTATTAGATTGTGAATTGCCTGAGGAGGTCTAGAGCGGGAAAGAGGTCAAATTTTCTCACCTTAAAACTGTTGGTAGTTTTTCTTATGTTATTATTAATTATGATGGTCGTAGCAAACTTAAGGCTAAATCAAAGAAATGTTATTTCATCGACTATGGAGACGGGGCATCTGGTTATCGTTTCTGGAATGATCAAGATCGGAAGATCATAAGATGCAGGAATGTGATTTTTAATGAAAATGTTATGTACAAGGACAAGCCCAATACAGTTTCTGAATTAGCTTCTCGGGAAGTCGAGTTTGAAGATTTGATGACCTATTAGAGGTTACAGTGCAGGGCAAAGATGTAAGTAATGAGGAGAGTGGGTCTAGTGCACCCATTTTAATTGTCCACAGACAGTTTCAGAGTAGCCCACCCCTACAACTATTGTTCGCAAGTCAGTCAGGACTAGACGTTCTCTTCAGCGTTTCTCACTAACCTTGAACTACATTCTGTTGACAAATGTTGGAGAACCACAGAGTTATGAATATACTCTGCAAGATACAAATTATAGCAAGTGAGACTGGCCATGAAAGATGAGATGGATTCTCTGCTAAGAAATCAGACATGGGAGCTGACAGAACTTCCACCAGAGAAGAAAATATTACACAATAAGTAGGTATATCGGGTGAAAACTGAGCATGATGACAGTAAGAGATATAAGGTTAAATTTGTTGTAAAAAGCTTTCAGCAAAAGCACGATATTGATTACGTTGAGATCTTTTCTCCTGTGGTGAAGCTCAACCATCAGAATGATACTGTCCATGGTGGCTACCGAAGATTTATTTCTTGGGCAGTTAGATGTGAAGGCGGTTTTTCCTCAAGGAGATCTTGAAGAAGACATCTACAGGCATCAACTTGGGGGGTTTGTAATGCAGGACAATGAAGATTCAGTTTGCAAATCGAAGAAAAGCTTATATGGACTAAAACAAACTCCTAGACAGTGGTACAAGAAATTTGATAATTTCATGCACAATGTAAGGTACAGCATATGTTAGGCAAATCACTGTTATCATGTCAGACATTTTGACAATCCTTATATTATTCTACTATTGTACGTGAATGACATGCTTATTGCAGGGGTCAGTATTGATGAAATCAAAAATCTGAAGAAGCAGATCTTATAGTGCATTGCAACGAAGGATTTGGAAGTTGCAAAGTAAATCCTTGGCATGAGAATTATCATAGACAGAATCAGAGGTACGTTGAGACTGTCACAGGTTGAGTATGTGAAAAATGTACTCAACATGTTCAATATGGACAAGACAAAACCAGTTGGCACACCTCTAAGCAGTCATTTCAGGCTCAGCAAGAATCAGTCACCCAAGTCAGAGGAGAAACGAGGCCACAAGAGTAAGGTTCCCTATGCCTCAACTATTGGTTCACTTGTGTATGTTATGGATTGCACAAGATCAATTATTACTCATGCAGTGGGAGTTGTGAGCATATATATGAGTAACACAGGCAATGAACATCGGGAAGTTGTGAAGTAGATTTTGAGAAACCTAAAGGACTCCTCAAAAACCTGCTTGTGTTTCTCAGGAAAAAGTTTAGAAGTACTGGGTTGTGTTAATGTTGATCTAGCTGGAGACATTGATAGCAGAAGGAGTACTACGGGTTATATTTATACTTTTGGTGGCACTGCAGTATCATGGGGTTCAAGCCTACAGAAAACAGTTTCTTCGTCTAGTACAGAAGCTGAGTATATAGCAATGTCAAAGATTGCAAAGGAGATGGTATGACTACAAGGCTTTTTGGAGGAATTGGGTAAAAAGAATCAGAAGGGCGGACACTCTCAACAGTGATAGTCACAGCGTCATATTCATTACCAGGAATTCAGCATTTCAATCCAAGCCCGCACATTCAGATCAGGTGTCACTTCATACGGTCATTGTTAGATGACGAACAATTGTTACTTAAGAAAATTTATGGAAGCAAGAACCCTGTTAATATATTTACTAAGAGTGTTACACTTGAGAAACTGAAGTTGTGTTCAACTTCAATTGGTCTTTTAGTATGAAGACAGGAGCTTTGAGTTGAAGAAGTGGAGAATATCACATTTGAGAAAAAGATCAATGCAATCAGTGGATGATTCAGTCAGTGTACCAATCTCTAAGTGGGAGATTCATTGAGTATTGTGGAGCCCGGTCCACTTCCTTAACTGACAATCTCGGCACCTATGGAAATAATTTGAATTTCTCTGATTAAATTCTTTTTATTCTTTCATTCCTTTTGGATAGCTGAAACACTTGTGCCCTTCCCTATTGGGATCCCGCCCCTTGCCTTCTTCATGTCTATTAAAGATTGCCCATCTCTTGTAATCGCATGCAGTGGGAAAACCAAAATTCGAGCAGCTGCCATCGAGGAGTTCCGAGCTACTGCGCTTGAGGAAGAAGAATGTTTGGCGGGCGACTGACCATCGGCGGTGGCTGGAGAAATCTAAGGCAGTTGGACCATCGGCATGCGACTGGAGGCAATCGCGATCGTTCAGAAGTTGCGACAAACAGGTGAAGAGGTAGGTGCTGCGGACGGCAAAAACCAAGAACAAGAAGAAGAGGGAGAGAGAATAAGTGAAGTCGAGTTCTTGTAACTGTGTCAAGAAACTGTGTAATCCTTAAAGCAATCAATCCTCTGCAACTCCGTGGACATGGCAATTTGCCGAACCACGTACATTTGTGTGTTTGTGTGATTTTCTCGTCAATTTTTCGCTTTCTCGCAACCGTCAATCATTTTTCACAACTTTAAACTGTATTCTCCAAAGCAAACCTTTGAATTAACTAATTGGACCTAAAATAGGCTTCCACAAATCCACCCTTTATTCAAATAACTTCGTTATTAATTACAGCTCACCAGTAATCAAACGGTTCACCAGTAATCAAACGGTGCAAATGATAACTATTCTCCTCAACAAGGTATTGATTTGAGATGGCATAAATAGGCGCTTTAAGAATAGAAATCATGCATTTAATAGCATAGAAAACGATTAATTCGTTGGGTATATATCGAACTAATCATGAAAACAAGGTAAAGATTGTCTAATTGTTAACCATTTTCATAAAGACACTGCATTGTCAATCATCTGAAGTAAAACAGCTTCTAAAGCGCTAGAGCAACTGAATTCAACATCAGTGAAGCAAAACAAGGGTAGTTTTTCAACTCTAGGGATTGACAATCTAGGATGTAGGGTTAGTTAGTTGAAAGGTTTGTACAAAAATTGAAGCTAATAGAGTAGGAAAAGATCACCTGAGAAGCTCAAGATATCAAGGACGAAACCAGGTCAAGGCTTCGGTCTCCTTTATCACGGTGTTACTTTGATTCCACCTCAACCAATGTAGGCGGTGAGTAGCGTGTGAGAAGAAGGGTAACAAGCGGCGTGGCGGCGACAACCTACAAGCGGTGTGTGAGGGGGCCGGCTACAGGCGGCGAGTGAGAAGACGAAGGTTCGAGCGAGGCGTCGTGTGAGGTGGCGGGGGAGGCGGAGAATGAGGTTTCGCCGCACATTCGGCGGAGCGTCGAGACGAGGTTTCACATGGAACGCGGCTAAAGCCGGATAAAGGGATCGGCGGCGAGGATTCTCAGGTATCAGCGATGGCGTGATGTTCGGGGATGCGCGAAGGTGTAAGATTCGTAAGATTGGGGTTTTGAATCAATCTGAAGATTTGTTCGGTTGTCGGAAATGGAGCTTAGCATCGATTTAATTTGGAAAATTTGGCATTTCGATAAATATATCATCGAAAATTGGGAAGCATATCTGATATCTAAAGCTTGATATTTATATTTGATGATTTTTTTTTTCTTTGGCATGAATCTGGAGACATTTTTTAGCAAGAAGTATTTCAAATTCAAGTTTAAGGATCATTAAAAACTTCGATTTCAGCAATTTTATAAGTCAAAATGACTATCTCGATAAGTCGAGTCCAATAATGTCAAAATTGGTCTGTTCCAAGTCCAAACAAGTCCAAATCAAATCATTCGAGCATATTTAAAGACGTCTGATCGTCAATTGAATGGTTGAATAGACTTTAAATTTGACATGTTTATAGTTGGATTGAGTGTCTCGACCATAGGAATCTAGCAAGCCGAAGGAGTCTTAATTCTGAGGTCATTAAGATCTTTAAATCACCCAAAAATTCATATGATCAATAAAGTCACTATAGGTCACTCGATTAAGTGGCTATGAGAGTTATTTTTCAAATGACCAAAATGGCGCACCCCAAGATATTAATGATGGACCCTCTTTCTTCACTTGAGGGAGGAGCAAAAGTCGAATTCTAATATTTTTTAGACTGGAGATTCGACAATAACTTATGGCTTTCATACTTGTCGGCCACCATCTATCTGTTGCTATCGATCACCGTTGGCTTTCCCTCCTTGCCATCATTGGGGAACTTTGTTTGCTTACAATGTGTCCTAAATATGGTGTTACAAATAATGTTATATTGAAGACCCAAAGATAATTTTCGGTCTCTGTAATTGTCGACCACCACCGGTTGCCCTTGCTTATCACGATCAACAAACTTTACTTGCTAATGTCATATCTCAAATATGGTGTAACAAATAACACCGTATTGAAGATCCAACAACAGCTCTTGATGACAATTGCTTATGGTTGTCGTATTCAGAATAAAACTTTTACGTTGTATATAGAAAACCTTTGTATTTGGCGTAAAACTGTAACACTGCTCTCATGATTATGAGAAAATATGTATATTTATACTTACACTCTTACAATAGATTACTTTACCTAGGCTAGGTCCTATGGTTTTTTTTTTCGTTTCTAGAGTTTTTCTATATAAAAAATTTTTAGTGTCTTCTCCTCATAATTTTCATTTATTTGTGCATGTGATGGATCTTCCTATCCCAGCAGATTTCACCACTTGGAAGATTTGATCTATGTATCTTTATAAGAGTAACACCCCTCGTGGAATGTACAACTTGGATCTTTACTATCAGTGAGCAAAAGTTGGAGTACATGGAATTTCTCTATAGAAACCAAGGCGTGTTTGTCTCAAGTTTGACGGATATGCCTGAGATTGATCTTAAAGTAATGATGTACTACCTAAAGATTGACCTTACATATAAGTTGATCATCCAAAAGAAACAAAATTATGTGTTAGAACGCCAACAAGTGATTAAGCAAAAGGTCGACAAAGCTTATGCAAGCAAATTTCACATGGATGCTAAATTATCCCATTTGGCTCACAAATCTCATTATGGTGAGAAAGACCTCTAGAGCATGGAGGACGTGCATCAACTATACTGACCAAAGGCTATCTAAAAGACAATTTTCATCTTCTCCGAATAAATCAATTAGCTTACGCTACATCTGGACATCAAACACAGCTTCATGAATGCTTATTATAGTTACAATCAGATAAAGATGAATCTCATTTATGAGGAAGCTACTTCCTTCTAGACAGATAAAGTCTTATATTTCTATAGAATAATGTCCTTTGGGCTAAAGAAAACCGGTACAGCTTACCAACATCTCATGAACAAGATTTTCAAATACCTCATCATACATGTCAGGGAAGCATGTATAGATGACATGCTAGTCATGTGTTCGAAGACTTCTCAACTTATTCATGACTTGGTAAAATATTTTCAACTTTTTTGGGAGTACAACATATGACTCAACTAGAGTGCAAATGAGTTAATTAAACTCAAACCACCTTTGGCTTAGGCTTGAGCTTTATTAATTTTTCAAGTTCGAGCTCGAGCTCAAGCTTAACTCTACGAGTCTGAGCCGGCTTGCAAGCTAGATTTTTTAATATAAAAAAAATGAAAATGATATTAATTTAAGCTAATTTTATGATAAGATGATAAATAGAATGAACAATTAGAAGATAAATAATAAAAATTCACCTAAAGTACAATACAAAATATTTTTTAACAGTAATTTTAATACCATAAATATAATGTTTTGAAATTTATATGTTTTGCATATTTTATACGAATATTGTCTTAAATGAGTTGGCTCACAAGCTAACGAGTTGATTCAAGGTTGGCTTGAGCTTGGCTTGTTAGCTCATTGAGCTCAGTTTACGAGCAACTTATCAAGCAAAGCTCAAGTCGGCTCACGAGTCGGCATGACTCACTTACACCCTTAGACTCAGCCCAGCTAAATGTGCATTTAGAATCACATCAGACAAATTTCTTGGATTCATGGTTACCTACTATGGAGTATGATGAATCTTGAGAAAATTAAGGTGATCAATGATATAATATATCCCAAAAATATAAAAGAGGTACAAATATTATATAAAAAGATAAATGCACTAAATCGTTTTCTGACAAGATTAGGAGACATGTATCTCTCATTCTTCAAAATATTGGCACTCGTTCAAAATACCAATTTTTTTGTGAACAAATGAGTGACACATTGCTTTAGATCAGCTTAAGACTTATGTTATCAAAACTAGGGCAAGATGGGACGTTGTATCACTATCCTATGGTGTCTCCGTTTGCAATAAGTTTAGTCCTAATCAAAGAGTAGTAGAAGATTCAATGGCTAGTTTACTAAATTAGAAAAATCAATTCTAACAGATAAAATTTTTATTTTTAGACAGCTAAGATAGCTCGAACATTCATACCCATACTATTAGTTTTTACACAAATCTCCCTCAAAGGATCATCTTGCAAAAATCGGAGGCATCAAAGAGGTGTTGACCTCATTATTGTTGAGGTCTAGTCTTTTTCTCTTAGGAGTCTAGCATTTAGCCAAAGGACTTTCCTGTTGACTATCATAGAGGACTAGTGATGGAACCCTACCTCCCTTAGAAATTCTAAACACCTCTTTACTCTTCTTGGAGTTTCACATGTATGATTTTGACTACCAACACTTAGTGGGATGTAACCAGCATGAGAGAGCTCAAGAAGAGTCCCCATAGGATTGGCAAGCCTTAAGGTTAGCTCTAAGTGGCTTGTTCTTAGCCATGCTCACACACACACCTCACCACAATTTCACTCACAACCTAAAACCCTAAAATCACCCACACTTAACCCTGTTCCCCACTCGTTTAGAAACTCATGTGGGTGGTCCCCAAACCCTTAATTATTGGCTATGATGGCTAGGACCAACACATGAAGGATCCAAAATCTTTCCATTGGCGGGTATCATTATGATTAGCATTTTCAATGAACCTCAATACTACTAGAACACCCAATTTTGACCTTTTACTCCCCAAATCATTCCAAAATTATCAAAATATCCTTGGAACCCCTAAATTTTTTAAAATGGCCCAAATTATCAATTTCGACTCAAAAAACATATTGGGCCATTCCAAATCGTTTAAATTGCCCAAAATACCCAAATTTCTTTAAAATTCCCAAAGTACCCACAAATTTCCCAAAATTACTAAAATGCCCCTCATGTCCCAAAAGTTCCCAAAATCTCTAAATTCACTCCAAACGTTCCCAAGATCAATCCTAACCACCCAATGACCCTAATTGCGCCCAAGTTTACCAAAATTTATCATATTTCTCAAATTGCCCCTGAATACCCAAAGTCCCCAAATTGCCCCCAATTTCCACCAAATTCATTTCAAATTCCTCTAATTTCAAATGCACACTAAATTTAATCATATCTAAGACCAATTGAGAGCAAATTCAATCCCATTTGATGTAGCCTATGATTAATTTCAAATCAATTTCATGAAGGCCCACCTTCATATACCTTTTAAAAACCCACATTCATAAGCATATTTAAAGGCCCATTTCATAAATTTGAAGAACCCGTTGAAAAATTTCCCCTCCTCATCATCCTTTTAATGACACCATCCATCATGGCATCATATCATACATGCATTTAAATTTTTATCCGAATTAGGTATCATGTCATTTCCTCCCAAAATTCATAAAAATTAAAATTTTCTTTCTCATGAAATTCACTCATGGGGTCATGCATGGCATGGCTTGACCCATGAAGCCATCCATGGGCTTCATATGGGTCAACCTTTCCAAAAATGGAAAAGGGAGAGGCTCTTCCTTTTTCCTCCTCACATAAGTTTTCCCCCTTCATGAAACATCCAAGCCCTCTCCCTCATGCTCCAACCAGCCATCCAAGTCTACTCAAAACCTCTCTCGGGGCCAAAAACATCCTCCTAGCCACCTTGGACTTGAGCTAGCCACTTGAACAAGGGGTTTAACACAACCCAAGCCAACTTAGCCTAAACCCCATTTCTCCCTTGGTCTTTGGCCATGAGCCCACTTGAGACCAATTTGACTTGACCTCACAGCCCCCCTAACCTCCATCAACGTGGACGTGACCACACTTGCTCTGACGGGCCACCCAACTGCAAGAAAACACCAAGCCCGATAGCCTCCCCAAGGGTTAAACCCAAATTTGGGACTCCCTGATGTGGCTCATCCCCATTGGCCATTAAAGCTCTTCTTCCCTCCACCTTAGCCTCCCATTGGGCACCTTGGCTCACCCTGTTGGCCACCATGGCCATGGCTATAAATTAAGCACCCCCACGGGCAAAAAAAAGAGTGATCAAACCTTAACAAAACTTTGCCAAAATTCTCCTAGACCTTCTAGCAGCCATGCGAAGCTCATCCCCACTATTTTCCAACCTTCATCCCCCTAATTTTGAGTTCAAAATCTTAGGGGTTTTAATGGCCATACCTTAAACCTCATAAAAATCCCAAATTTATTCACTCCTGAGCTTCTCCAGGGCAAGAGAGGAAGTTCCCCCATTAAACTTGA